ACTATAAGTCACTCCGGCACTCTGGGGGCACAACACACTCCACTGTAAGTCACTCAGGCACTCTGGGGGGACAACACACTCACTGTTAGTCACTCCGGCACTCTGGGGGGACAATGCACTCACTGTAAGTCACTCAGGCACTCTGGGGGGACAATGCACTCACTGTAAGTCACTCAGGCACTCTGGGGGGACAACGCACTCACTGTTAGTCACTCAGGCACTCTGGGGGGACAACACACTCACTGTTAGTCACTCCGGCACTCTGGGGGGACAACACACTCACTGTTAGTCACTCCGGCACTCTGGGGGGACAACACACTCACTGTTAGTCACTCCGGCACTCTGGGGGGACAACACACTCACTGTAAGTCACTCAGGCACTCTGGGGGGACAACACACTCACTGTTAGTCACTCCGGCACTCTGGGGACACTAGACTAACGTCACACACTTCCTTAGAACACGACGTAAAAAAACTAAAATAAAAACTAACTTTAAAACACTAAAAACAAACGTGAATCTGGATATAGGAAATTTTGAGGGAGACTGAAACACAAAAATAATAACCGAACATATTCTAGTATATATTTATATATAATATAGTATATTTATATCAAGGCACACAGGTGAGTACATGAAGACGGCCCGCAGGTGAGTACACAGGACAGGTGAACACACACACACACACACACACACACACACACACACACACACACACACACACACACACACACACACACACACACACACACACACACAGCAACGCCAGCACTGGGGACCACAAATACACCGCGGCTGAAGAACACGGAACTCTCCACACACAAACAAATAGTCTCTCAGAGCGAGCTATAAAAGGTAGAGACGGACAGGTGTCCACATTGACTCTCTCTCTCCCTCACTTCCCCTCCGCTCTCCCTCTCTCTCTCTCCCTCACCCTCCTCTCTCTCTCTCCCTCTCTCCTGCAAGAGGTGCCGGGGCAATAAATCTCAGCCTGGCGGCGGGCGACACTAATTGCTTCAACAAACCGTCGTCACTGTCATCTTTTCATCGTTATATCCTTCATTGTCATCGATTTACCTTTCTTAAAGTCTTATCTCTTAGCATCTTTCCTCACGCACTTAGGTTTGGTTTATTTATCTTGACATTATAACCAAGAAACATTGGTAGCGTCAGATTTTAGCGTCAGCTCTTAATTAATATAATTGTTAAATTGGTTCTGTCACTTAATTTTTCTACTTCTTTCACAAGCGAAGGAAAAACACAAGAAAATAGAGAAGATTCCTACTAATTTATTTGACCTCACCCTTTATATATATATATATATATATATATATATATATATATATATATATATTATATATATATATATATATATATATATATATATATATATATATATATATATATATATATTATATATATATATATATGCGAACAAGCATCAATATAGTTGTGTTAATTGGCTGTTGATTGCTGGTATTGACTTTTTAATGTGTAGTGCCGCGCTGATGTTAAGTCTCCTGCTATCGCTGTATCTATCGATGA